GGGTTGTTAAATCTCATTGTCCTTTCTCCCCGTCTAATTGCGGTTGCCAATTCGTGTGCCAAGCGTGGCAACTACTGGCAAAACTCCCCAAAGGAGGAGGCTTATGTACATCAGTGGACAGTTAGGGGCTGATATGATGATGATGATGATGATGATAATCATTCACACATACATCGTCACATCAGCTGTTAACCGTCCACAGCTGAACATAGGCCTTGGCAGGCGGGTTGGTAACCCCAGTGATGCTTTAGTGATGTTTTAAGAGGGACGCTGCTGAGACTTTCTCGACTATTAGGCTCCCTTAGTCGCTTTTTACGACACTAATGGAAAAGAAGGGGTGGTCCATTCTATGCCAGGATATTACCTAATATATAAGTATATTCTATGTGATGATGAAGTAAGAATAGAACACAGGGTTTGCATCTTAAAATCTTTACTTCTTTACATTTTTTGCACAATGATGATTCAATATTATAACTAGAATAAAATAAATGTTTGCTATTAAGAATTTGAATGTACCTACAGTATAGAGAATAGTATGCTATATTTATTCGAAACGCGTCCTTTGTAAGCGATTGGTTACTAAACCTCTATTTTTTCTTGTACAGTCAGAAGAAAAAATCAATGATAACCTACAGATTTCCAAAACTCGTAAACAATATTTCGTAAAGAAGTTCAACAAGTTTAGAACTATAATTGGATGGATATTGTATTAGGTCAAAATCAGTTCAATGTAAGCAATGGTATATAATACAAATTGTTAATACAGGTTGAAAATATTATGAAATAGAAACTATTGTCCTTCCTTCCTTCCTTATAAGAAAGTGTTATTATAAGTGAAACTGAATGTTTTTCCCAAAGGAACATGAAATGAAAATTGCATGTCTCTCGTGCGAATACGGCGCGTTCGACTGTTTATATTATTATTTAGTACTAGCGGCCCGTCCTAGCTTCGCACTGGTGGACATTTTTATATTTTAAAAAGTGGCCATTAAAGCTGCACACGCGACGAAAGCTTAAAAATGGAGTAACTTCTCCCGTTTTCCCAACATTTCCCTTCACTGCTCTGCTCCTATTGATCGTAGCGTGATGAAAAGTATACTATAATCTGCCCAGAAGTATGAAGAATAATTGTACCTAGTTTCGTTAAAATTTGTCGAGTAGTTATTGTTTCTACAACGAACATACAGACAGACAGACAAAAATTTTACTGATTGCATTTTTGGCATCAGTATCGATCACTAATCACCCCCTGATAGTTATTTTGGGAATATATATCATGTACAGAATTGATCTCTCTACAGATTTATTATAAGTATAGATGAAAACCTAGTTTTACGTTATTTTTGAATTTTAGATTCATGAAATTTCTGTATAGCATGAGTAGATTCTTTGTTCAGTTTACGATTTTAATGTTTCCCTGTATTATATGTATTGTACCATATATAAAAGTATAGGTGTATGGGGGGGGGTGGAGAGATTGTTAGTAATGGGAATTAGTAGCCCTATTGTCAGATCAACCTCTTCACGGTTCCACCTGGAAATCATCGTGATTAATTTCAAGTGAATTCATTACGATGTGCTAGATGTCCTGCCTTCTCATCCTCACTTATCATTCCTCATTGGAGATTCACCAGTGCATTAATTTAGCGGAAGTTACCATTCCATTTTTAATCTTTAAAAAGTTTAATTAGTGGGTTTGAGAATTTTAATGTGTTCGTTGACTTTTGCAGTCGACTGTACCTATTCGTTTTTGCTTAATGAGACTAGTCGAAAACGAAATCAGTTTGATTTAGCAATTCGTGTTACCGACATTCTTATATAGCCCTATATCTATTTATGGTGGCATAAGGTAGCCAATTTGAAACCGGATTTTATATGGACATACAATAATTACGACAAAGATAAGTTTTTATATTGATAAATAGCTGCCAATTTATGGTAATAATTAAGAAAAAAATTCTGTTTTTCTATTAACCAACCATGTTCACTTTAATGACGAAACTGATTAAATTTTGATGGAAATAGAAAACCTTTATACATTATATAGGTACTAGTATAGTATTAAATTATCTGTGATATAGGTATTGCTTATTTGGGTCTCGTTTTAAAACAGATTCTGGAAATAATTGTTTAAGGTTTACAGATTATAAAGATATTTTTCTCTACAAAGACGATGACTACAATCGTGACAAAATTTATATCCTATTCGATTGCAAAAATAATAATTAAAATCAGTTTAGACTGATCACATAAAGTACACACAATAAAATACATTTGAATTGAGAACTTGCATATACATACGTTTCTTTAGAATTCGCTTGAAAATAAAAAAAATAAAATCTAATAATGTAATTTATGTGTACAATAAAGTATAAATAAATAAATAAAAAGTAAAATAATTTTAAATAATATTGTTAGGAGTGAAAGAGAGAGACCAAGGTACTGTTACATTGAGCAGATCAGCAAGCGAGTGGCTAGAGCTTCACCGATAAGAGCGTAGATCTTAAATAAGCAATGGTCAATCATAAATATAATTAAACGATCTTATTACTAATTCAGGCGTGGTGATGAGGTCAGAATAGAATTGTTGTTCTGCGTTATCAGCACAGACAAGGGATGGGCAGCAGCGTTCCTCTTAAAAAAAATTCAAAGCCTAACTTCGGTTCACAATTCGCCTGCCAATCGTAGCAACTACTGGCATTTTGCCAGGGGGACTTATGTTCAGCAGTGGACAGTTAAAGGCTGATATGATGATAGTTTCCAAGGAGAATGGTTACCAGCAATAGGATTGCTAGTCTCCATTACTAGGGTGTCTAGTATCAAAACAAAGTTCTACGTTAACTAAGTAAAATTTTAGCTGACTAGGCGTTTAGTATGGGATATAATGGGCCAATATTATCTTGTAAAAAAGGTCTATGTATTAAGTATACACTTTCAAGCTGTCATCAACAAAATGATAAAATATAACAATACAGAGTAGTAGAAATATAAAGAAACAATATAAAACGAACTGTGATATAACAATGTCGCCTACATTTTAGGATTACATCTTGTAATACCTTTAAATGGCTATTTAAACGTTTAGTCCGACTGTGACAGAGTGGCCTGATCAAAGATAGACTGTAAACAGTGCTAGCTGAGCTGACACGGTGGAAAGCAACAGTTGTATTGTTCGAGCAAGGTCGATCGACGTGACAGCCGGATATATAGACCCTTATTTATGTTAATTTACTTGTACATACTCTAATAGACAACAAATAAATTAATTCTATGATTGATTTTTGTATATTTGATTTAATACAATGTTTGTAATAGACTCACGATTGTGTTGTAATTTAAAGGTAATTGTGATAAATTTGATTTGTTCGACGCCCAGACATTATTGTTGCTAATATTTCATAATCTTAAAAATATAATAAAATTGTAAACAAACGATGTCAGTACATGGTAGACATTAAAGAAAAATCGATATGAGAAGTCTTAATAAGAGTATTAAAAATCAAAACCATATTTTTTAGTATTTTTGTTTAGACAGAACATGTACACACATATACAGACAGACAGTCTGCTTGACTGATTGCATATTTGTTCTGGTATTACGCAAAAATTACTGTATCAAATTGGATGCGGTTTTTACTGTTGCGGTTCTGAGAATCTAACTAAAATACTGGTGCATGTTTTATCTTTTACCTCTTCTTACTTCTCAAACCCACAAGTTCATATTATCGCGCAAAACTTAGCTTTATTCAATAATTTGATATTAAAACAGAATTGAATTATTCAGTTATTATTTACTTCTGTCTTTTACTTGCGGCTTCGTCCACGTGACCGGGATATGTTTACTAACCGGGATAAAAATCCTTTTCCATCACATACGGTACGTATATACCAAATTTCAAAGTGATTGGTTAAGTCTTTAAGAAATTATAAGATGACAAACAAACTCACTTTTACATTTTTAATATTAGTAAGGATTAAAACAATTAGTAGCGAACTAATGAGTAAATCTTAAAAATAAATTGACTTACTATTTTTATTATAATAATGACTTACTGATTTCTTACAAATTGTAAATATTGATGGAAATTTTATAAAAATTCCCACAGAAACAAGAAAATGTGTTAGTGCAGATCAAACTGCGGGAAATAGCGAGTAACGTTTTAAGATTCTGATGTTTTTTTTTCTATGCAACTTAGAATGGCAAACAATCTGACGGCCCACCTGATGGAAAGTGGTTACCGTCGCCTATAGACATGAGCAATACTATGGATACCCCTCATGCGTTACCATTCCTGAGGACTCAGATATTATTCCTCTGTACCTTGTAAATGCACTGCCATATCCACTCTTCAAACCGAAACACATCTATGTAAACACAACTGCTTCACGGTAGAAACACGAGTGGTACAGAGGTGCTCAAGCAAACGACTTTTGTACAAAGTCTCCCTCTGGTAAAATATAATGTGACACCGAAGTAACCGAGTTACAAGTAGTTCAAAATTTTATCACAAATTGTACATCTACAATACAAAGATCCATTAATCATAATGAGTAACATTTTAAAAGTCAGCATTGCAACGACCTCGCCATTCTATCTCAATTAGATTAGTATAGCATTCATCTACATAATACTAAGTACATACTTATAATACATAACACACACTATTGTTTTTTTACCTGGCTTCAGCAATTCGGTTGTATTTTTATATTTTATTTACCTCATAACTTCGTCAGTTCTAAACTAATTTGGAAAATTCTTTATTTATCTGAAACGATATACTTACACATTGGTCCCATAGAAAAATGATCAAAATTCATTTAGTTTTTAGTACAAAATAACTGATAAGCAATTGGTTAGACGAAATTTGTGTCCTTTAATATAATTTTGAACATTAAGATTTATATGAAGCTGATTACTATAATAAAATTGCGTTAAAGGAATTTGATTTTTACATTACTAGTAACAATTACTAGTTTCAATTGTAACTAACTCTTACCTGGAGGCAATTTAGACTTGAGCATATCCATAGCGACTACGTTGATGACTAGCACCCATATGGGGCACTCCAGCAATTCACTGTCCGACTTCACGAAGGCTATTGCGCTAAGGCACTGCGTCTCCAACCGCCTGCGGTCAGGGTATGCACGGCGAAGCTCGCGGTTGACGTTTGATTGGAATTTCTTCATGTCGAATAACTATGGAAGAGAAGAAATAAAGATTATAAGAAAAACAATCCAAATAGTAGTATTAATCAGTTTACAAAAGTTGTTAAATTATTAACAAATTTAAATAGGTCACCTATTTCTTCTCCGTGGATGTCGTAAGTAAAATCATGGTTGAGGGATGGGCAACAGTGTCTCTCTTAAAACATCACTAAAAGCCTAACTGCGGTTACCAATCTGTCTGCCAAGCGTGGTAAAATTTCTGGTAAAATTTCCCTAATGAGGAAGGCTTATGTGTTATGGCACTGAACAATTGACGGATGATAAGATGATGATATCTGATGAGGTAAGCTTTGCAATCTTAGATTTCACGCGTAATCAATGTAGTCATCAGATCTCTTGTATTTTGCATTAAAATGAACGAGTTAGCTAAAGGTTATTGATAAAAAAAAAACTAAAAGTTTCTTTTAAACAATTTGTGATATAGAAAGAATTTATATGAACTTTTTGCAAGAGACATTTACAGTAGACAAATGTGTTGCTACAATGAGTAAAGATGCTACTTACAGAATAATAAGAAATACAAAAAAAAAATATATCCACATCATCATCAGGATTTCAGCCATTATCTGTCCATTGCTGAATAGGTCTTCCCTATAGACTGCCATAAGTAAAGATCCTCAGCCACCTGCATCTACTAATTCTCTGCAATGCATTTGAGGTCGTCACTCCATCTAGTGGGGGGTTGTCCTACACTGCGTTTGCTATTACAGGGTCGCCACTTGAGAAACTTTCTTCTAAATACATATGTAGTAGGAATTTAATACGTTTCTAATTTACTGTATGCTTGGTTAGTTTACTAATATACTTGCACTGAAGTGTTTTACTAGAGACGTTTCAACGGTAAATTATAATTTGAAAACTACTGTGTAAACGGCGCCAATTAGTCATTATAAGATTATATTATATTTGTTTATTAAATAAATCAAAAAACTTATTAAAATATAATAGGATAAATATCAATCATGTCATACGAGTCGACGTATTAATTCGACGACATGTTTAGACAATGCTAAATGGTCTAATTTTTTTATTATCCAAACAAATACATACCTATATAAGGAATCTAAGATATTTATCATGCACAAGAACACAAAAAAGAGGCAATATAAAACATTAGTAAGTAGCTAAATTTATTAATGATCTAACCATATAAAAAGTTCAATGTGTTTTTTATCTTAATTAACCAATTTAATCAAACAACCGATGGTAATCTAAACAAATAGACGGACGACTGGACATATTCTGATGTTATCAAATTGTTTGATAGCAGAGCGTCGGTCCATAATGAAGAGACAACAAAATTGTTCTGTCATATTGAATTGGGCCGACAAGTGATTGCGTACGCCCTTTAAAGATGTAATTTTGTTTTCTGTTTACCATTTATAGATATGTTTAAGGACTAATTGGTTTATTAAAAATAAAATTAAGGTTGTTGTTATTAAATCAATTAGTTCTTAATAAATTTGTGATCTATAAAATAATAGGTAAGATGTTTTTATGCGACGTAAATATTCAATAAGGTTTTTAAGGAAATCTATGAAAGATGTATAAGTACTTTATTGTATACAATATTAATGAAGAGAAATATGTTCAATTTAAATACTAGTATGTTTGTTAAGATAAAACAAATATAGTTGACAATTTAAATGTAACTAATTACATATACGCATGTATTTAGAATTTTGGACCTTTGTAATGTTAGAGCAAAATACATTATTTTTTGATGGGTGAAAATGGTATGGTAACCCCGCCTGCGCTTACGGGATACGCTGGCGGAACACCAGTGAAGGGTGATAGATGAGAATGAAAACAGGCCAGTTAGCCCATCATGATGAATTCAGCAGTAATTAACCATGATAGTTTTCAGGGAGAACCGCGAGGAGGTCGACCTGGTTGGGTATATTGCTAGCAATAGGATTCTCAGTATCCATTACTAACAATCCCTTTCTTCCCAAAGCCAAATGTATTTTATAATTTAGCTAATTGAAAGTATTGCACATTGTATAAAGTTGATAGAAACTTCAGCATTAAAATGTATCAATCAAACTGGTTTTGTTTTATTAGTTTTTAAAACAACATGTATGGCAGTACCTATTTTATTGTTAATCTAAAAAACAATATCGAAAACGCCGAGTCAGATGCATCGACGAAATTGAATGAGGCTTATGAAGTTGTTACACAACCGATGCACTTCCAAGACGTCACTGTGATCTCGCATCAAGCTGTCCATCGAGCACGGTAGACAAGTCAGTTCAGATAATATCTATAAAAAGTCACCGCCCGACCCAAGAAAGTGCATCATCAGAGAAATACACTTTTTGGTTTGTATACTGACGTGTTTTCGAGAATCTTAATTATTACTGGAATGTTCGATGCAGGCTCCATTATTATATTACGCAACTGATCTATTTATAATTGGAATAGTTGATTTTATGATGAATTGCGGTTTGCGCAACGTACAAATTAAAAGTCATCTTTGACAATTTTATATTAAATGCTCGTAGGAAACCAGCTCGTGAGGTAGACAGGGCTTTTGATGATAACATTGTATTATATTAAGTTAGTCACAAGGGAATTCGGTGTGGGAACGAAAACGAATGGCACAGAAAATAAATCTCAGGGATCAACATGTTGCAACATCGTATTGTTTCGAGGAAATTGGTTTTGTAAATGAAGATTGTATTCGAGTAGCATATGAAATCTATATGTCCATAATTATAATTTTAGCAGAACAGTTAACTGTTCAAAGATTTTTTATGAATTTTTTTAAACTATTAGTAATAATATAAACGGTGATAAACAGGCATATAGACACGAAACATACCATAAACACCACAGAACTAAAAATGGTGTCCAGGATAATCTTAACATATTAGTCTTTAATTTTATAACGTTTATTTTTGAGATGTATAAAGCATTATACCTTTGTGTTAGAGTTTGCACTGATTTATACAAATTTATACATTAAAATATAAACAATTGCAGGAAATTTAAACGAATCTTACAGAATTTAGTTTAAACAATATGTTTCATTAAATAACAAACTATTGACACAGATTTACTTAAATATCTAGATGATGATAAGGATGATTTTATTGAAGAAACATTTCCGATAATAGCGCGAATAGTAGATGTTAACTTGATAGTTTACCTAATTCGTAATGGGCAAAAACAATAGCCTTCATTTCGTGAATCTGCTTTCATTTAACAAACTGAATAACATCCAAACAAATAAGTGAGGCAATGACCATTCTTCTCGTTACTCCATGCTGCTATCTTTCGCATTGTTTGTTGCAACTACCTTACGTAAAACATTGTAGGTAATGATGTATGAATTAGTAATGTACCTTCTGTCTCATACACTAGGAAGTGTTTCTATTGTTTGATAATTTGTCTCTACAAGTCTTATATTATAATAATGTTGTATTTTAGCAGTAGCTACAAGGAAGAAAATTAATTACAAGGAAATGGTTATGTTAAAATTAGTAAAATATTCATGTCCATTCACAGGAACACGACCCAAGAGATTCATGATAAAATTCTATCCAAATTATTAAAATAGCTTGCAGAAACAATCAATAGCAACACGTAATGTCATAATTATAATCTATTTAATTATAGAAAATATAGTATTTTAATTATTTTATTGTGTAAACAAAGAGTAGATGAAATAGATAGTATCTTAGTAGATCATGTGACTTGATTAAATAAAGCAGGTACATCAGAAAATTACAATGTCATCTTTACTCTTTTAATTGATCCAAATATCTCAACATCGACAACGACCGCAATGACGATCGAAGTCGTGGGTGAAAGCGAACTAGTAAAACACGAACTTTGACGTTACAGGGGTGAATAAAAAACTTGGACAAGATGAAAGGGCCCGGTAAGTGTTTAGTATTTTCTGTAAGAGTAATTTAGAAATTTCGTAAGCACAACTAAAAAGAAATTATGTAGCAATGTCACGGCCATGGGAGTCGTGCTAGTGCAGTCGTGATGCGCTGTAAATGACCAACACAATGCACATTAGAGTAATGTTCGAAGCTTTTAAATTTTTTTTTTTTTCACCGTGCATCATTGTCTTTTATAGTGTCGAAACTGGGGATTACATGTATGTACGAACAAATGGTGCAAGATGGAGCAATCTGTAATTACTGTATGAGCATGTGAAGCTGCAGTGAATTGATTACGGGGTATAAGATAATTAATCTGTTTTATGTGCTACAGGAAATAATTAATGAAATTAAATAATAACACCTTCATTGTTAAAAAAGAGTATACCAATCGCTTAAGTAATACATAATTGGAGGGTTTAGTTCAGCTGGTATATGTGGATATAGTGCTTGTATATATCACAAAATATAAAAGGTTGTCTTGAAAAGATTGTTCTCAGCAATAACACCGCCTTACTGTACTTATACAATTGTATCGTTGTGTTTGTAAATTGTTTTGCTTATTTCCTATATTGTATAATGCAAATAAAGTATTCATTCATTTATTCATTCAAAATAAATCATTGCCGTCTGGTCCCAGCATAGAATAGGCCACCACTTCCTTTGCTATGGATGTCAAAAGAGGCAACTAAAGGAACTTAATCCTTGAGTTCCTTTAGTTGCTTAATCTCTTAAAACATCACTCAAAACCTAACTGCGATTTCCAGACCGTATGCCAGGTGTAACAACTACTAGCAAAACCCCTTTATGGGAGAGGCCTATGTTCAGCAGTGTATAGTTAGCGGTTGATATGATAAAGATATGATATCATCAAAGCTATTTAAGCGTTTGAGTAACAAATGTATAAACATCCAATATATAAACATTTTTACATATATAATATAAATATTAATGTTATAATTATTAAGTTAGCAAATAACGAATGAATGTTTCTATATTATAAACGAGGAAAACAGCAAATTTTAAAAGTAAAATACTAGGGGAAATCGACGACTCTAAATGAAGGTACAAATGCGTTTAGAGTTTTTGCTAGATTTTTTTTTATCGTAATGCGAAATAATTAAAGATTGGGTACTACAAACAAAAACCTATTACAATTGCAATAGACAAAAGCAGTTATTTTAATATCAAAATAAACTATTAATTTTTCAAATCGGTTAAAAATGACAGAACTTAAAAAAATACAACCAAATTGAGAATATCCTTGTTTTTGAAGTCAATTGAAAAGGTCAATTAACATAAAAAGGTCATTAATTATATCCGCACTTATCACAAAGGAATATTTGTCAATTTATAGTAAATATTGTGACACGTCTTTGTCTAAAAGCGATGTTTCTTTAATACCTAATTTTACAAAATTACCATATTCTATAATATAAGGCTGGTCATCATGTGGGCAGCCACGAAATTAATAGACTCATATTTCGATATCTCAATTTATAAGGCTCCATCCACATAAAGCAAATTGAAACTGTAATTTTTAATACTTCGAGAAACTATACAGCAATGAAAGAGAGGAAAATTACAAATATTTGGTCATGTTTATATATAATTATTCCTAAATATTATTTTGACTAATTGTTAATTTAATTTATTTTTTGTTTAAGTTAGTTTGATAGTTATAAACATATATAATTTATAACGGGTAGATAATTAATTTATATTGTATTATTTGTGTTGTATTAATATTAAATTGAATAATTTTAATGTATGCAAATGTATAAATAAATAATTTTAGTTTTATTAAAAACAAAAATACACAAGTAGTATTACAACTTAATATTTTTTATAACCTAAAATTGATTAAGATACGATATAACGTAGCTAAAAAGATAAAAGATCCTAAATAAATAAAGATTAAAAAATACTTTATTTTAGAAGAAAAGGTAATTTTTCAATGAGGATCACGCTAGCTTGAATATTATATAAAACCCGAGGACTGGATTCGAATGATACACAAGGTAGTGATCATATGCACCTAATAAAAAATATGTAATACATAATTATATGAAAATACATAATATACACTATTAGTATAAACTCTAACAATAAAAGTATAAAATGTAATTCTTGGTAATAGAGAAGAAAAGGGAAATAAAGAGTACCTAATATATTACGAATAAAAGTAGGCACATCAAGTTATGTATGTATTAAATTATGCAATTGAAGTAAGTTATACTATGTATTCATTTTATTAATAAGTTATAATAAAGGTTATTTAAAAAAAAATACTCTCAACACTATTTCTGTCATTGTGAACAAAACCTTACTTTTCCATCGCATCGGAAATTAATGCCGGCAAACATTGTTTTGTAGACACGGAACAAAATTACTTATCACATAAAATTGTAAGTTGCTTTAAATGGGAAGGCAATCCGCCTTTAGCACATGGATCTTTCCAACTTAAAATTTTATTGAGACGTATAACGTATTTATTTATTGCAGATAATCAGTACATAGTGAAGGATAAACGCAGGGCAGTTGTAGGATGTGTTGCTATATTAAAGAGGTACATATGAGTAGGGTATAGTTAATTAAGACATTTCAAAAATGCATTCCTTCTTCTCGTTTTTATATTTGAGGTGAAACAGGACTTCGTGTATCTAGTTTCTTTTTGTTTTTATAATGTTAAATGCGGTGTGCAGTGTTTATTGTAAAATATAATGAGTTGGCATTTTATTGTGAACAGTGATCCCGTAGTCATATATTTTTGAAAAAAAAAAATGCTGTTAAATACAGTATAGTGTAAAAATCTATTTTCTTTTAATAAAGGATGATTTTGCGGCTATTTTTACAAGCTCATTGTTAAAAAGTTTCGTAAGTACAAACTTAATCTAATAAAGACTGGTTAAGTGTGACGGGAGAGCGAGTCGTTCACGATTAAGGGTTACGAATGGTCCCGATACTAGTTGAGCTTTCTCAACCTCCGATATATATATATTAATACTGAATAATTTCATTATATTATTAGTAAAGTGAAAATGTTTATGATTATAACAAAAATAAATTGGTAATTGTAAATTTAAATGAATTTAATGGTGCATTCCAGGTGTAGCGGACATCATCCCAGGAAATATACAAATGATATTTTGCAGATAAGTCGATGAATGTAAGTGGCGCAGGAACGTGTTTTGTGGTGAAATATGAGGGAGAATATAATAATTATCACACAAATACACCAATCGCTTAGTTTTAAAGCTAAGAAACCTTGTGTTATGTGCTTCAAGATGGTCTACTAGGAGGCACCTCTTAGAATACCCAGACTCGAGCCCATTTTGGAAAGTTCGATTCCTAAATTGATCCGACCAAGAATTATATCTGGGACATCATTTGTGCAAAACTGTCATGCTTACTACTACACCTTGATGGTTGTCATATGTTCAGCAGTGCACGACAGAAAGATTATAATGTTGATGATGAAATTCCTAATAAAATTCTTAATATTCATTTTGGACTTACTTTAAAAATTTTCTCCTGTTCAAGCGAGTAGCCCGGTAGCTTGAGTATATCCTGTCCTATTGCAGTTTCCTCGTTGCTTGTGGCTGCCGTACTCTTCACAAACACACTACTCTTGGAGTAGCGCCTGATGAGTATGTTACCGGCGTCGTCCATTTTTATTTTGACACCCTATGCGGAAGAAAAAAAAACATTTTAAATTAATCACATTGAGGTTGGGACAATCTTGGTCAATTAGAGTAATGACTTTTTCATAAAATCCAAAGGTTGTGAATTCAAATCTAATATACATCAAAAAACTATCTTAATCGAATTTTTTTACTAACTTTCTGGATAGTTAACACAGTCAGTCAGTAATTTATATTTAAGATTCTTTATTATTTCTTTATCAATAATATAGGTTAGATACGAGCAATGTACTACAAAACATTAACAAAAACAGAAATTCTTATATGAGATTGCAAAATTTATGCAGTTTCTATATTTTCTTAGAACTAAATACTCATATTTATTATTTTATCAGTTGTGTTTTCGACTTTGTGTAGATTACATTGTAAATTGTTTCAGCACGTAAAATAATTTTTATTCAAATTATAAGCTACATTTTTTTTATATTTATTAAAATCTTTTATTCCGTACATATATATAAATTACTCTATTTTTAAGCTTTAAGGTTACAATTCAAAATGTATTTATATACCTTGATCAATATCAAAAACAAATTTTAAGTCAGTAATTTTACAATAATTACAGTCGGTAATTACTGGCACTATTTCTACACTGATTACTATCTCTATACAATTGAGAGTGAATCTGTTTTATTGTTTGTTACATATTTTGATGAAAATGAAACATAAGCAAACAAAGAGTAACATTATTTTTATTTTCACACGCAAAATTGCAAGTGATGCTGTTATTAATATTTTCACTCAATGAAAACTTGTTTAAAGACGTTGCTCTCCAGACAAGGATACAATAGAATATTTTGACATAAAAGGACAGTTAAGAGACAATAACCTTAGTAAAAAATTTTACTCGCATATTAACAAAAACCGTTAACTCGATGACATCAGAAGTTATCTTAACATCAACAAATACAAGGTCATTGGCTCAAGACGTTACAGTTTTTATCAAGCTAACACCATTCATCATTTTCTGATTTACGATTTGACAGGACCATACAACAATAGAATATAAGGTTCCAATTCTGACCTATGACATCAGTGACCTTAAATTGTTGGAGCATATCAAAGTATTGTTGTGTTTCGAGAACAATTTTACCAGAAGACGGAAGAGGTTAATTGGTCATAAAGCTTGGGAAAATGATGGCGTCAATGGAACTATTATATTTGGACTAATAGAAGTTGAATTGACTAAAACCTTTAAAATTGAACACTTTTGTATTGCTCTATTATATAGCAAATTGCATTTGATAAATGTTAATTTAAAAAATACGTAGGATATTTATGAAAATAATGGAAACTTGATACAACAGACAAAAATAATCAAATTTTCGCGATTACTAAACCTTGAGCGATACCATTGACATCAAGGTTCTGAATATAAAGTCCATGATACTAATCTTGTAACATATTTAGCTCTTTAATTACTAATTTAGTCCTTACAATTGATTCGATTATGGATGGTAGTACAGAAATAGGATAATAATATGCTATGGCATCAGGTGATGTTTTACCTGTGTCACCTATTATATGTATCATCTTTGCTTGAGTGCCAAATTTTATGCAAATTATTAGCAGTAAATATTTAAATATAGTAAACTTTGAAAATGCCATTAATAAGATTAGAAACAAATTTTTAAATAAGTAAATCAACAAACTTATCATGATAATTGACTATGTTATCTGAAACGTCATTAATAATTTTGTACGTTCAAAGATCATAAACGTTTACAAATTGTAATTACAGCCGACCTATCAGTCAATCTGATTATACTATGATGGATTGTGCTTCCATATTGTCGAATATGTATCCAACTGGATCTTCATATGGCCGATAGATAATGACATATGACCTTAACAATACGACCTTGTCATTTGGTAAGAGCTCAGAAAGCATGTTTATGATAACAAGGCAGTTTTAAGGTGTTGTATTCATGGAAGTTTATGAATAATATTATACTTCATCATATAGTCATCATTTATATCATCAATCCCAGTAACATCTAACTGTTGGGCTTAATTTTATTTTCATAATGTTCGCTAGCTTTACTTATTTCGTTAACTAGATTGCTTGTTAAGCTGTTATTTAAGTATCTTTTTTTTTACAAATAGTATCTATTTCATTTCCTTTATCGTTGTTTACGATAGGAGATATATTATTTCTTTTCGATCTCAGATTCTTCTTATTCTACCACTACATGGAGAATAAGGAAACATTCTTTTATTTTTTGCCAATAGATGATTATTTGGATTGTAATTGTTTTTATATACAATTAAGATATACAGACAGTTCTTTCACAATTTTATATTTTCTCTGCACATAACATACTAATTAGTCTAACCAACTTATTTGGAGGAGGGGGGATTGTTAGTAATGGGGTACAGACTCATTACTAGCAATATATTCAGTCAAGTCAAACTCCACGTGGTTACCCCGAAAACCATCATCCTGAATTCCAGGTGCATTTATCACGATAAGCTAACTGATTTTTCTTTTCATTCTCACTTGCCATCCTTCACTGGTGCCCCATCAGCGTATATCGTTACCGCAGGTGGAGTACCATTCCATAATCATCCATTAAAGAACTAACTTAATCTAAAAAAATTCCTAATTTGATCAAAATTCAGATACTAGTTTTTTCAATTGATAAAATAAAAAAAAAGGTGATTAGAAAACTTCCTATTTGTTATAAAGGAGTTTTTTAATGTTGTTTCACAATTTCATATTCAGTTATGCACAGTGCAACTGTGCATAATTAGGAAATTAGGTCACATTTCAAAGGCGTTTCTTTACAGTTCTAGAAATGAAAAAAGAATTATTTAAAACCTTCTATTTGCCATAAAGGCTTTTTATGGCAGTGAGTTTATCTTCATTTTCTTTATAAAACGCCGCGTTCGATTGCATAGAAACATTACTGGTAGTGGGAAGTGTTGTAAGAGTTAACGAAACACGGTTTAATTGTCGCACGGCGGTTACGAATGCCAACGAATCACTAGTCCGTGGATAATGGATTCATAATCGCGTCAATATATCTACATTACAATGACGAGATCGTTAAACTTGAATTTGGATTTGTCATTTTTTTTCTTACTTAGTAAATTACGTTACATTTAAATATAAAATAAATAGCTCTACACATTTAAAAAAACTTTCTTTTTGACTGAAATTTATATTACGAGTATTTAAACTAATCCCCTTGTTCATAAAAACTGAAACCTTTTATAAATTTATTTTGACTGTTTACATAGTTTTGTCACTTTCTTTCATATTAGAAATAATACACCAAAGAAAGAGACAAAACTAATAGTTAAAATGGGTTTATGGGAGGTTTGTCGTTTTTATGAATAAGGGGTATGGACTATAATAAGGATAGATTTGATTTTTTTTGTAATGGATAAACTGATTAGTTTCGGGATCAATCGTGATCCTAAATCATGGGTGGCAGTGACACGAGCATTAGCCTGTTAAAATTTTTATAAATTCTATGGGACAACTGAAGTTGATTTTTTTGAGATACACAATCTTAACCCTTAAATACCTGAAGTTTCAAATTTGATACCGGGGTTATAAATCGCATTGGGCGCCTACAATCGAATTTATTTCAATATTTGGCTGTTTACATGTTACCAAATGTTTTTTTCAAAATAAATGTATAAAAATATCGTTTTGATTTTTTTTACTATTTTTCCCCATTAGTAAACACAGTAAAGGGTACACTTATATATTTTTCAATTTGATTTAAAAAATCAGGCTTTTAAGGGTTAAGTTATTAGCTTATATTCATGTATTATGTATAAGTCTATGTACTATGTACGAAGTATGTCTATGGCGCAACGTTTAGCCTAATTTGCTTTATGATTTTTATAAATGGGGTGTCATTATGGTGCTTTAGCACAGAATACGTAATAGTAATATATAATGGCTTTAGGCAATGGGAAGAAAAGAAAAAATTAAAAATAATATGTATTACGCTATGAATCACTTACTACCATTAAACTTCTTTAGTATCGAAAAAAAGAGATCTCTCATACACAAACAGACATTTAAAAACTTTAATCATAGAGGCAGCCGCTTTAGTACAAGAATACAAATATTAGGCACGGTTAATAATAAGATTTCATTATTCTTTTTTCTCCATTAAGCTCCTGGCCTTACTTTAATTTATTTTTAGGGTTCAGCAGGCATCCGAAATACTTACTCATCGGCCATTATACACTGGAATAACAGCATTAGAGATTTCTTTGGACTATTATATCATAGCATTAGAAAGATATTTTAATTAAACAAATGGACCATTGAATTTATTTGTTCTTGTTAAAACAATATAGTTATTTGATTGTTTATTATTTAAGGTAAAAAAAAACTATCATTGATAATGTTATACGTATTTCTTATATAATTTTCAAAAGGAGATTACCATTTCGGTTGTTTTTTTTTGATGTTGATAATTAATTCTGCAATATATAATTAAATTGGAAAATTAAGTTAAGAAATGGTCTTAGGAAACATAACAGGCCCTTAAAAATAACTCCTCAATGAATATTTTTTATGTACCTAAACGGGAATTTTATGAACATAAGCAAAAACCATATTTTCCATATTATAAATTATAATACATACGGGACCTTTGATTTTTGAACTCGACTCGCACTATCCGATTCAAATATTTAATTACAATATACCGATAACTATTTTATGTAAATTACAACAATATCACACTTGTAACAGCTGACAATAATTTATTTATTGATGATTAGCTATTTACCGTGGCTTTCTTCACCTTTTTTTTAATTTAGGTAGTGATATGTAAGTAAATGGCAGTAAATAAGTCTAGAAGTGCAAATATACGGTGTGGGTGTACATTACACCCAAAAAATACAACATGTATATTTATACGTTTAGACATGTATATTTTATACTTACTGTTATTATTATACATATATGTATTTTTACCAGTGTTATGCTTTTTTTTATACAACTTAGAATGGCAAACAGACTGACGGCCCACCTGATGGAAAGTGGTAACTGTCGCCTATACACATGAGCAGTACCATGGACATAACAGAGTATACTGTTTCGCCCATGATACTCCCCCATGCGTTGCCATTCCTGAGGACTCAGGTGTTATTCCTCTGTATCCAGTAAATTCACGCCATATCCCACCCTTCAAACCGAAACACAGCCATGCAAACACAACTGCTTCACGGTAGAAACACGAATGGGACAGAGGTACCCAAGCAATTGACTTTTGTACAAAGTCTCCCTCCCTATACCATTATTGTCCACTATTGAATATAGGTCTCCCCTATTGGGGCTTTGCCATTACTTGCCACGTTTGGCAGGTGGGTTGATAACCGCAGTTAGGCCTTGGTGATGTTTTAAGAGAGATGCTGCTGGCCATCTCTCGACCATAGTTCCCTTACTCGTTTATTACGACACCCACGGGAAAGGAAGAGGTAGCCTATTCTATGAAAGGACTACAAAGTACTATTGTTATATACTTATATGCTTATATATATTGCTAGTGATCCGGTCCGGTTCCACATGTTTAGACAGAATTTTCGAAATAAATCCGTAGTCTATGTTACTTGCTGTTAATGTTTTTAATGGATGATAATGGAATGGTAACCCCATCCGCGCTATCGGTATACACCGGCGGGGCACCAGTGAAGGATGACAGGTGAGGACGAAGCAGGTCAGTTAGCCCATCGTGACGAATTCAACAAGTATTGTACACGATGGTTTCCAGGGGGAACCACGCGGAGGTCGACCTAATAGGGCATATTGCTAACAATGGGGCTGTCAAACTCCATTGCTAACAATCCCTTCCCCCCCTGCTGTTAATGTAGCTTTATATAGGTGAAAGAATTTTAATAATCGATTCAAGTAGTTTTTGAGCTTATCCATTACAAACAGACAAACAATCAAATCTCTCCTTTTTATAATATTAAGTATAGACAGTATAGATTAATATTACCTACCCACTTCGATGTTTTATACGTAGAATTTAAAAATATCGATTTCCTTGAGATTGACAGCTCGTTATTGCATCTCATTTGAATGTCAAAATCCATTCTATTGTTCGTTAGTTTGTTTTTGATAGTCTGCATTATATATTGTAGTACACATACTTGATCTCGCGTCAAGATCCTAGCTGTATATCGTTACTTCCTAGTACATGTTCAATTTGTATTTTATTGTGTGGCAGAATATATTGTTTTAATGAGGCAATTTTCCTTTTTCTTTCTCTTAGTTGTTGCCTCAATTTATTTGGAGTCTGTTCTTAATAATTTGGGACTATAAATACTGGGATATGATCCACTGAAATTTAACCCTTCAATACCTGAAGTTTCAAATTTGATAACGGGGTTAGCATTATTTCATTGTTAAATAAATTTAAATATTTTGATTAGCGTAATACCTAAAGTATCAAAAATGATACCAAATGTTTTTTTTTTTTCAAAATAAATATATAAAAATATGTTATGTTTTTTTTCACTATTTTTCCCCATTAGTAATGTATCCTACACTTATATATATTTTTAATTTGATTTAAAAAATCAGGCTTTTAAGGGTTAATAGATGTACTAGTAAAAAATCGATTAATTGATCGAATGACTCGATTTATTACAAAATTCATTTAAATATTATTATTATTTATTACTTTAATGTACACACTAATGATACATAAGAATAAGACAGAGGTAAGCAAATGTACAAAGGCGAGCTTAACTTTAAAAGAGTTCTCATACAGTAAACCCAAACTGGAAAGGAGCATCAACGTCAGCGGGTAGAGTGGTGTACAATATTTATTACACATATATATTTAGAGAGTTCTATTTTTTAATTCTAATAAACTTGGTTACCGTTTTAATTAGTTATAATGAAACAGAATTCTTTATATCGCCAAGATTTTGTAAGGAATTAAAGGAATAACTGCTATATAGTGCATTTATATATGAAGCGAAAGAAAAACTTGAAATAAGACTGCAAAGTAGCTTGATCAGCACGATAATAGTAGGCTAATATAGTTTTCTAATGAGGAGAAATCCATGTCCAATAGTGGGATTGTAATGGGTTTATAATGGTTACGGTTTGTGGTGTAGATTTCTTTAAAAAAAAAAAGATAAAAAAAGTGTAAATATTCGCGTTTACCGCTAACAACCACAACAGTTTTCCAAATCTATCATGGATATAATAATATCTGGTATAGAAAATGGCAGGTTACATAAAAAATTTCATGAAAAAAAAAAACAACCTGTAACCTGTAATAAGCTTCGCGTGGGAAAAGAAAAAAGAAAAATTACTTCATAGAATGAAAACAATAAAGAATAGAAGAGGCAAAATGCTGGGTACCTTATACGACATGAAGATTTTTTAAAGAGCATAAAAGAAGGAAACATAGAGAGCAAAAGACGAAGGGGAGGATTGAGGAATAACTACATGGAACAGGCAAAGAAAACTCAAGGTGTCATGTCGTATAGAGAGCTCAAAGATGCGACTTGGGATAGAGCTGGCTGGAAGAAAATGCATGAATTAGTTGCACCGATAAGGGGAAACTCTTAAATGGAAATAAGGAAATCGGTTAAAAAGACATTCGCCTCTTTTTATTGAAGTCTATGTGGTAATTTAGAGAAACTATAAAAATGAACCTAACTTCCGTATTTATACTTGAAATAAAGTAATTATTGTTTATAACATGATATTAGTACATCAATATGTTTTATAATATTTATTTTTGTCCGAATGCCGTAAGTCTCTTTAGGTGGGCGTGCTTGACTAATAATTAAAAAAAATGCAATGGATCCGGTCATTTTCCATCAAACGTTACGTCATTCTTTGTATGTGTGTGTGAAGTTTTATAGAAAAAAACCTCAATTTGATTAAGGACTATGGACTGAGCCAAATCACTGATTGCTTTATCTGGTAGATCGTGAACTCATCTCTGATTTAAGCGCGTATCTGTCATCGACTTGGTACGTAAGACGTTCATCCAAAAAAAAAAAAAAACATTTTTGTATGAATTTTAATTTCAAAATTTCATTATTGTATCATAATGAAAATTATTATTAGCCATTAACACCACATAGACCTCCCCCTATTGGGAAGTTTTGCCAGTAGTTGCCACATTTGGCAGTCAGGTATGTGCATAATGAAACTAGTATTCTATATTTATAGGGTTAACCCTTCTTTGCATAGTGGTGAAAATGTTTATCATAACATTAAAAACCCAATATCATATATAAAAAACCAAGTTCACTTTAAGTTGATCGTGTCTGGATACCTTTTTAATATCCATTGCAGAAAAAAAACATAGCTGTCAAATTTAATTCTTTAACCATTTTTCCTTTAATTTTGAACATGAATTATGTCACCTTGATTTATTTCACCAATAAAAAATCATGCAGAGAAGGGTTAAAATTGAAATATAATTTAAGATAGTGTTTTATAAAAACATCGACTTCAATTGTGGCAAAACTAGTTGTTTTGATTTAAAAACCAAACTACTGAAGCAAGTTTGATAAAATTTCTATGGGACCAATCTATAAATATATCCTTTCATATAAAAAACGTATTTCCAAATCTGTTTAAAACCTTTTTTTATACAACTTAGAATGGCAAACAAGCTGACGGCCCACCTGATGGAAAGTGGTAACCGTCGCCTATAGACATGAGCAGTACCATGGACATAACAGAGTATACTGTTCCGCCCATGATATCCCCCCATGCGTTGCCATTCCTGAGGACTCAGGTGTTATTCCTCTGTACCCTGTAAATTCACGCCATATCCCACCCTTCAAACTGAAACACAGCCATGCAAACATAACTGCTTCACTTTGAAATCGATGGAAAATAAACACTTTTTCCTCAAATTTATTTATGTACGAGGTACTTTTATTTTTCTCCTTGAAAATTATACCCTGTATAAATTTATGAACACTAATATGGCAATACTTATTATAAATAGAAATTAACTCCTGTTTAGTTTGTAAGTTTTTTTTAAATCATAAAATAAATCCTGCCTGTTTACAATAAGACGAATTAGATACTTGTAGAGTTGATTATTCGATCAATGTATGAAGCAATATTTATAAAGATTTGAACTTTGTGCTAAATTCGAATTTTAAAATGAAACGTGTAACCACGTCTAAATTTTTTTTAACTACATTAATGAATTATGAAAAATTACTTCGAAATTATATAAAATTAAATATCGTGACGTTTTGCAATTCTTTTTTTTTTTTAATGAGTTATTTGCAGGATGTAATTCACATTTGTACTCAATTGAACAACCATATATCTTGTGTTACTAGAAATGATTAAATTGTCTACTTGTATAAATAATACGATATTTATAAATGAAAATCGATTCAACGTCAGAGCGAAATATTGTTTGTATAAAAATATAAAATTACTAAAAAAAAAAACAAAAATGCAATCGTTTTATTTCCTAATTTCACTTGGAATAAATCGAACGTGAGAGTAAAGTTGTGCCGTGTCGTGCCATGCTACGGTAAATTATAAAAGCCCATTAGTACTGGTCATCAGTGATATAATTTGGTCGAAAATTATAATTTGCTGCTATTTATTGAATTTTGTTTATTTACACCTTAATACGCCAATTAAAAAAAAAAGTTATGTGGAATAAGTGTTAAGATATCCCTTTCAGACAATTTTTGGGTAAAGGACGTTAAAAAAAGAGAATCTGTCCCAATTATTCGAATTTTAAATTTTATGAAAAATTAAAAAAAGATTTAGATTTCTTCAAATAATCAAAAATAGTAGTTACCTGTCCTATATGTCTTTTTAATTCGTCTGTCTTCTGATCTCTGTGTGGGTTGTTGAATCCGCAAAGGCCAATTCTGCAAAAAGGAAAGAAAACGTTAACAATGTAAAAAGCATCCTAACAGTCGACTTTATATTATTGTTTAAATACTGTTGTAAGAATGTATTACGATGTATTTATTTTTACATATCTTGGATACAAGCCAGTGAATTTAGTGTAATAAAATTGTGAAAAACCATACTTGAACAATAAAATGTTTATAATATGCATGCAACCACGAGAACGATTTCCATATGACCGCTAACTTACGATCAAGGGTATTTTTTTTAATTCGTTAATTTGTATGCGATGTTGTTTATATTCTTACATAGATTATTATGATTAGGTGGACAAACTACAGTGGATAGTATATCGTTTTTATCATTAACAAAAGATCTTCAGGAAAGTAAAAATATAAAGTTAATATATTTAATTGCAATAAAACAAATACAAATGGGAATTTATATTTGTTTTAGGATTAAAAGAAAGTGATAAGAAGTCGCCGGTTACGGGTACTTTTAATTTGACCCTTCAGCACGACGCCTATTTAGTCAACATACGTCCATCTAGGGCGACCCCTACCGACATCTCCACTCGTTCGTGCTCCATAAATCTCTTTTGTGATTCTTCCTTCAGCCATTCTCTCTATGTGATAAGACTGTAAGTGACAGTGTTTTTCTGTCTATCCATTTGTTACAGGAACACAGTGTGTTATCGAGAAGGAAATACTAAGAAACTGGTTGAAAACAAAAACAGCAATTTCAAGTGACAAAATGTATATAAAACAAATATATATAATTGTTAATTTTGACAAATATATATATATATATATATATATATATATATATATATATTTATTATTTATATATATATAAATATAATATCGATATTGAAATTAAAACGAGTGGTACATTTTCTTGTACATTTTTTGAAGATGCTCAAAAACTACATTCGCGTTAATTGTAACTGAGAATTCTTATAAAACCTCACCTTTAGTTCTCATGTAACAAACTGTACAATGACATAGGTATTTGTAAGCATTAGTATTTTGTGTACGTATCGGAATATTGTTTTCTTAAAACCGTACCCTTGCTCGCCCTGAGAATGTATGCTACTTTGTTATTCTTGTCGTCGATCGCCACTTGGCGTCGCTTACTGATTGTCTATACCTATCTGATTCTAATACCGTTGAAGGAATTAAGGTTTTTTATTCAAAAGGTGAAATTGTTTGTGCCGATGGCAATTTGAATGATGTAGTTGTGACGAGGCGCGAGTGTGAAGTGCGTGCAGAATTAAAAATCATTTTAGTGGTAGAAAGTGAAACGGTTTATACACCATAGACAAATTTGAAAGTTCTCTAGTGGTTTCTCGGTGTGCATGCAATGGTGTTGGAATTTATTTATTTTGTTATACCAGATACAAAAATAAGGGTTACAGTAGACGAATTAGACAAAATGAGAGCAAAGCCGATCATGTCGCTATGCAATATCTTCCAGGGAGTCTTTGAGGAAAGAATATTGAGAAATCAAAAATAAAGAGTACAATAAAATAGAAAAAAGATACACCCTTAGAAAAATATTTATACCTACACATACTTAATACCATATATATATAATTAAAAAGAACGAAGGAGGAAGGCGATAAGAGAAATAAAAAAACGGAGAAGTGTAGATATTATTTGGGTTTTGAACTAACTAACAAAATAAAGGTTCGTGTAGGTAATCTACCTGGAATTTCAGAATATAAAAGAATCATGAGTATCACATTTAAAAATTGAGTATAGCAGACGCAAGATGTGCAGATTACAGAAGATGATTACCGAATTGAGAAGAAGTTGAGCACGAAATGGAGTAATTTAGTACACTTGCAATCAAGATAATGTAACTAAATTAAAAAGTTAAATTTACTATAGAAACCTAATAAGGTTCGTGTTTGTCATCAAACACGTACCGTGCGCATTATTAAGTTTCTATAGCAATTTGAAAACCATTAATTTTTGGCTGGTTTTTCGATTACGCAAACATGAAATTGAAAAATTCCAAGTGTTCAAAGTGGAATTCCCACCAACCGAGTCTGAGAGCTCAAAACATAAACAATAAGATATAAAGTTCAATATTTCAAACAGTTTTCATGTCTAAACTATTGCCAAAGTGTTAATTTGACTTAATCTCTGTAATAACAATACGTAGCTATAACTGTTACGTGCCCACACAACGTTGTATTATGTTTAATAAAATGTGTTTTTATTTGACCTTTATGTTATAATGTTTTGTATTGATATAGGTCAAGTTTTATATGAATTGAAAATCTATATTATTATGTATATTTATAATTGAGTCCTTGCTTGAGTAAAAAAATAATTGAGTTATTAATAATACATGCTTAGATGTCGTTTTATTTTATACTATTGTTGTAGTGAATATTTATTTAAAAGTTATAATATGATATGATTGTAATTTTTTTTTTGTTTTATTACAAAAATAATCAACAAAATCGTCAGATTTTAATTATTAGTTATCGACCCACAATTGGTAAAAAAATATCTCGTAGCATACACAAAAATACTTACGAATTGAGAAACGGTTATTTATATAATCGATTAATAAACCTAAGTAGAAAGGTTTTGTGTAGGTACGGTGAAGGTAACAATTAATTATGTATGTATGATGGTAAGTATTTACTATCTACTATTTGTACTTATATTATTAGAAGACTACATTAAACTGTGCTATTAGGTGCAATTTTATATTAGTTTTTGGCTATAGTATACCGTAAAGCAGTTGTGTTTGCATGGCTGTGTTTCGGTTTGAAGGGTGGGATATGGCGTCAATTTACAGGGTACAGAGGAATAACACCTGGGTCCTCAGGAATAGCAACGCATGGGGGGTATCATGGGCAAAACAGTATACTCTGTTATGTCTATAGGCGACGGTTACCATTTTCCATCATGTGGGTCGTTAGCTTGTTTGCCATTCTAAGTTGTATAAAAAAAAAGTTAACAAATTCGTATAGATAATTATTTGAATTTAATATTAGAATCTGTATTAATTTATGCAAAATGCCGGAAGGTCTACAGCAAAATCCACGTTCCAGAAAACACACAAAGATCGTTTTGTTCCACTATAACGTAAATTTTATTAAGTTCGTTATTAATTTATTTATCAAACGGTCGTCGAACTAGCGGGAGTGAGCGGCGGCCTTGGTATAATGCGCGCGCGCAGTCACCGCGCTACTGTCATTTCTCGCGCGTGTCGTAGTCTTTGATCAATTTATTGAGATAAATTTTATATATATCTTGCTTTATATGGGTTAATTTGTAAATATAACTGTACAGTGCAATATATTTGGCAATCACGCCTTATTATCTGCTGTTTATGTGGTGAGCGATGACCTCAAATTTGTTAAAGGAATTCGGTGGATGCAGGTTGTTTAGGACCGTTCATTATGGCGGTCGATGTATACTTAACAGTGAATAATGGCTGAAATAATTATTATGATGATATGTGGTGACGAAATAAGAATTAGTTTTCATTCTCGTATCAGTTGATTCTTTTAATCTCTAAATAAAGAGAATAAAGCGCAATAAACTAGCACAAGAGAAGGGAAACTCGATAAAAAATTTGGTATAAAGGGAATCAATATGGTTTCCTATGTTGATCTTATTTTAATAATTAAAGCTTTTTATTTACGGAACAAAAATAATACTTGTTACTAGGTAGAATTTGAATTACACAAACACAGTATTTACGTCTAGGATATATAATACATAATTGTTTGGGAAATGATCAGTGCCCAGCTATCGAAAAGTAATAAATTGTTATTTAAGTAAAGTTAAGTAAGTAGGTACAAAGGCGAGCTTAACTCTAAAAGAGTTCTCTTCCAGCAAACCCAAAATGGAAAGGAGCATCAGTGTCAGCGGGTAAAGCAGCGTACAATATTGATAATACTTCATTACTTCTTAATCATACTAAGTGTAGTGCAGAAATTCTGACGACCCCGCAACACGCACGCGTGATTTGTTCAAGGATATGTCATACTGTAATGAAAGGTTGGCAATAATACAACGCCGTTGTTAATTCTAATTCGATATTGTTCCGTTATCTAATTCAATTATATGTTATTTTGTCATTAACAGTTACAGTCACGACCTGGTTAATAAAATCATGTAGCCAGAATGTAAATTGTATGGAATTTTGATTAAATTATCGCATGTGAACAAAGGCATCGATGATTTCTCTGGCGGCCTTGACCTATGTTGTTATGCAGTGAATTGCACATTAGCAGTTGCTAATTCATAAGAGACTTATGTACGTGTCATAATTATAATATTACTAGTTTTACATGCGACTTCGTTTGTGTGACTGAGATATGTGGATTTATCGGGATAAAAAATAGTCTTAGTCTAGTTATTCAAATTCATTTAAATAATACAAGGAACCCAAATTCGATGAGGTTGTGCTGTTTACTTCGGAAATTAAAATATTTTCTAGGAATCAATATATTTTTAAATTAATTTCACCAAAAAGTGGCGTCAAAGGAAATTGATAATTGCAAGACAATAGACCAATTGTTGCTTTTTGCAGCAGTCAAGTTTTCAATGAGATTGACATTAAAAAAATTTCATTGCGAACAATGACATATCCGGGAAAGTTCATGGTATGAATCTCCAAGTTCAAGGTATGCCTAACGGAACTAGGGGTGGTTGGGTTGTGAAATCTGCTAATCTATTGTTCTATTTAGTCAAGTGTGTTCCGCTTCATTTATTTTAGTCTGATTGAACCGAACTTCTATTTAGTATTAGAGACTAGTTGTATCTCGCGGCTCCTCCCGTGTGAATTAGTATATAAAGTATCCTATGTAGTAACTTAGGATATAACTTATATGTTTACTAAATTTCATTCAAATCCGTTAAATATTTTTTGTGTAAAATAATAATCAACAATCCATCCATCATTGCAAACTTTCGTATGTATTAAATTAACTGGATTTTTTTATGTTATGTAATACTGTTGCCAATTTCGAGATGTTTGTGATAAT